TCTTCTTCAGTTTGTCATTCCTGGCATAGTAGACCATATGATTGTCTGATTCAAAATGGCCAATACCAGTCAATTTCAGCTCACTAATGCCTAGGATGTCAACCTTTATGTATTCCATTTCATTTTTGACAACTTCCAATTTTCCTAGATTCATACTTTGTGCATTCCAAGTTCTGATTATTAATGTATGTTTACAGCTATTTCTTCTCATTTTGAGTCGTGCCACCTCAGCCAACGAAGGTCTCGAAAGCTTTACTCCTTCCATGTCATTAAGGTTGACTCTACTTTGAGGAGGCATCTCTTCTCCAGTAGTATTTTGCGTGTCTTCCAACCTGAGGGCCTCATCTTCCTACAGTGTATCAGACAAAGTTCAGCTGCTATTCATAAGGTTTTCACTGGCCAGTTTTTTCAGAAGTAGACCACCAGGTCCTTCTTCCTAGTCTGCCTTAATTTGGAAGCTTCAGTGAAACCTGTTTAGCACGGATGACCCTGCTAGTATTTGAAATACCGGTGGCAAAGCTTCCAGCATCACAGCAACATGCAAGCCACCACAGTATGACAAACTGACAAACGGTGGCTATTTTTGTTAGAACCTCTTAATTCTAATAATTTGACTGTAGATTCTTTAGAGATTTTTTTTTTATAGACAGTTGCATCATCTGTTAATAAGAAGAGTTTGGAGTTTGGTTTTAAGAACTTGAATCTTTTTTACTTTCATTCATTTTCTTGCCTTACTGTGCTAGATAAGAGAATAGATAACCTTGTCTTAACCTCAATTTTAAAGGAAATACTTCTAACAATTCACAAGTGATTTGAAGTTTGCTGTGAATTTTTTGTATGTACTCTTTTTTTATTTCCTTAACAAAGTCCCCTTCTGTTCCCAGCCAACATTTTTGTTTCTTTTTAAATCAGAGATGCAGGTTGAATTATCTTTGGCCATCTTTCCCCTGCTGTTATCCCAGGACTGCAATCCCCCAGCTTGTGTGTTATTGACCCACCAGTGTTGAAAGTATCGTCTACAGTGTGCTTGATGAGCTCTAGCATGTCCTTGTCTCTGGATCCTCATAAATCCCCTCTGAGGTCTACAGGCCAGATACCGCTGCCCGTCACAGACAAGGAGACTGAGCCTGCGAGTGGAGTGAATTGCTGAGGGTCAGATATCTGAAAATAGCGCAGAGTTTGGATTTGAACTCAGAACTTGTGACTGCCAATCCTGAGCTCTTTGCCTATTGCCCATTCTAATCAGCATGTTTTCCACCACCCATTTGTCAGTATATCCTACTGTGTTGACTTGTGTATTACTGTGATGCTGGAAAATACCAGCTTAAAATACCAGCAGGGTCACTCATGGTGGACAGGTTTCAGCAGAGTTTCCAGGCTAAGATAGACTAGGAAGGAAGGCCTGGAAATCTACTTCTGAAAACCAGCCCATGAAAATCCTATGGATCCCAGTAGAACATTGTCCAATATAGTGCTGGAAGATGAGCTTCTCAGGTTGGAAGGCACTCAAAATACACAGTGGCTGTAACAGTGGACTCAAGCATACCAACAACCATGAAGATGGCTCAGGATAGGTCAACATTTCGTTCTACAAGGGATTGTTCATAGGGTTGCCCTGAGTTGGAACTAACTTGAAGGCAACAAACAGTAACATGTTAATCTTTTGTCTGTTATTTCTTTTATCACTTTCTCCTGGTCTGTTGCTTATCTTTTTACTTGGTTCATTGTGTCTCTTCTGTGTAGGAGTTTTCAGTTCTGGGTAAAATTATATTTACCAATCTCTCCTTTTATGGTTTTTGCCTTTTGGGTATTAAGAAGTTTTTATCAACTCCAACTTCAAAGCATATTAGCCTATGATTTTTTTCTAACGCTTTTATAGTTCTCCCTCCCTTCCTTCCTCTCTCAGTTTACATTTAGTCCTCTGATCCACATGGAATTTATTAATTTTATAGAGATCAAATTTTAATTTTTGTTCCATGTGGATAATCAGTTGTTTCCAAACCACTCACTGGGTATTCCATTTTGTCCCCACTTACTTGAAATGCCATCTTTAAGAGTCCTTTCAGGAATTTTGCTTCTGTTCTCTTGATCTATTTGATAACTTTGGTGCCATTACCATTCTAACTACTATAGCTTTATAATATGTTTGCTGTCAGCTAGAGTAAGTTCCCACACCCCTCTTTTCTTCTTTTTAAAAAGTAATTTGGCTATTTTTACATGGATAACCTGCCATATGAATTTTCTAATCAGCTTGCCAAAATTTATGAACAATTCTTTTGGAATTTTGATTAGGATTGATTGAAATTGTAGATCAATTTAGAGAGATTGCACAGTTTACAATATTGAGACTTTTAGTAATTTCTTACATTTTTAGTATCCTCTAAACATTCTACGTATGAGTTAATACCATTTTTAAAAAACGTATGAACATATAAGAAATTTAGAAGACAGTAATCTGACCAACAGACTGGAAGAGATACATAATTGTGCCCATTCCAAAGAACGATGATCCAACAGAATGCGGAAATTATTGACCAATATTATCAATATGACGTGCAAGTAAAATTATGCTGAAGATAAAAACGGTTGCAGCAGTACATCGACAAGGAACTGCCGGAAATTCAAGCCAGATTCAGAAGAGGACATGGAACCAGGAATATTATTGCTGATGTCAGATGGATCCTGGCTCAAAGCAGAGAATATCAGAAAGATGTTTACCTGTGTTTTATTGACTACGAAAAGGCATTCGACTGTGTGGATCATAATAAATTATAGATAAATTGCGAAGAATGGGAATTCCAGAACACTTAATTGTGCTCATGAGGAACCTGTACATAGACCAAGAGGCAGTCGTTTGAACACAATAGGGGATACTGCATGGTTTAAAGTCAGGAAAGGTGTGTGTCAGGGTTGTATCCCTTTACCATATTTATTCAGTCTGTACGCTGGGCAAATAATGCCAGAAGCTGGACTATATGAAGAAGAACATGGCATCAGGATAGGAGGAAGACTCATTAACAACTTGAGTTACTCAGATGACACAACCTTGCTTGCTGAAAGTGAAGAGGACTTGAAACACTTACTGATGAAGATCAAAGATCAAGGACTACAGCCTTCAGTATGGATTACACCTCAACATAAAGAAAACAAAACTCCTCATAACTGAACCAATAAGCAACATCATGATAAACTGAGGAAAGATTGAAGTCGTCAAGGATTTCATTTTACTTGGATCCACAATCAACACCCATGGAAGCAGCAGTCAGGAAAGCACAGTACGTATTGCATGGGGCAAATCTGCTGCAAAAGACCTCTTTAAAGTGTTAAAAAGCAAAGATGTCACTTTGAGGACTAAGGTGTGCCTGACCCAAGCTGTGGTGTTTTCATTCGCCTCATATGCATGTGAAAGCTGAACCATGAATAAGGAAGATCAAAGAAGAATTGACACCTTTGAGACTGTTGAATATACCATGGACTGGCAAAAGAATGAACAAATCTGTCTTGGAAGAAGTACAGCCAGAATGCTCCTTAGAAGCAATGATGATGAAACTTCGTCTCACATACTTTAGACGGAGGGACCAGTCCCTGGAGAAGGACATCATGCTTGGTAAAGTAGAGGATCAGCGAAAAAGAGGAAGACACTCAACGCGATAGATTGACACAGTGGCGGCAACAGTGGACTTAAAAATAACGATTGTAAGCATGGCACTGGACCGGGCAGTGTTTAGTTCTGTTGTACATGGGGTCACTGTGAGTCAGCACCAACCTGACAGCATCTAACAACAACAACAACATGAACATACAGGAAAAAGGACTGTGGGACATACACCAAATCAAAGCACTGCTCATTTCCTCCAAATCTTTTACTTATATTCCCTTTCTAATCTCTAATTTTCTTTCTTTCTTTCTTTTTTTTTTTTTTTTACTGTTTTCCTAATCAGATTTAGCTGAGATTTCTCCGTTTTTATTGCTGTGTTTTTCTGCTCCCCTCCTCACTCCAAGGCTACTGGATTTGATTCCACCAATTTTCTGTTACTAATTTGTATAACTTTGTTTTGATTTTATTATCTACCCCTCCAATGTTTTTGTATTCCTCTTTGGTCTTTCTATAAAATCTTAGATGGAATCCATAAATTATTTTTCTTTCTCTCCTTTTCATGATAAGAGGACTAAAGGCTATGAATTTACCTCTGAGTACAGCTGAGGCCACATCCTATGGATTTTGAGTACACCATAGTTGGTGGTGTTGTTTTCATACATCTTCCAAGTAGCCCTTTCAGCCTGTTTCTGGATTCCTCTTCCCACCCCATAGCTACTTGGATAGTTGGTTGTTCTGAGTCCATCCTCCACATTCCTAATATGGAGGCCAGGTTTCTTTGAGTCGTCTAGGCCATTTCAGATTTGCCTTCACCTTGATGAGGGATGCCTACTCTGCCATTCAGTGCTTCCTGAGACTCACCAGAGTTTCATAGGTTCAGGGTGGAGGGTGAGATGCTGTGTGAGTGCTCTGAAAAACACTAGAGAAATACAGGGAGGTGGCTCCTCCTAATAGCCCTGAGGGCTTGTGGGCATCGATGGAGCTCAGGTTTGTTTGTTCACAAAGTATTCAATAAATACAAAGAATGTGCTCGGAAAATTACAGGCTTTGTGGAGAGTTCCTAAGAAGTACTTTCTCATTCCTACCTGGGGAGCTGTGAGTTTCTTTGCAGGGCATGTGTGTGGGCGGGGGAGGGGTGGTGCGGAGCATGGAAGGTGTGTACACAGAACAGTCAGAAGGCAGATTCAGGAGCGAGGACAAAGGTTACCTGCCCAGATTCAGGAGTGACGTCCAGGTGGCTGCCCAGAGAAGCCACGTGGCACAGCCGGAGTGGGGTGGCCTCTGTCCAAGGTGTCTCATGACCCCCTGCCCAGTGGCCAGTGCCCAGGTGGCACCGCTCCACTGGGGCAGGAGGGCTTCCCCATGGCAGTCCCCACTCCATATGCCTGTGCTTGGGTTTCAGATGCCGAGCACACTGATGCCAAGATGCTCACGGGCCTTCCAGGGCAGCTCATTGACACCGCGTGCAGGGTGTGCCAGGCCTACCTGGGGCAGCTGGAGCATGAGGACGTTGATGTCTCCGAAGACGCCACTGAGGACCTCACTGAGGACGAATGGAATGACCTGACCCAGCAGTACTACTCCCTCGTCCAGTAAGAAACACCCCGTCAGAGCCCTTGGGGTACACCGCGTGTCAGTGTGTCACTCAGGATGGGGGGTTCAGGAGTGGCCCAGGAAACTGCAGCCTGTGGAGCATCTGGGGTGCCCGTCTGGGCATTTGGGGTGCCTGTCTGAGCATCTGGGGCTCCCAAGCCTCCTGCTAGCCAATAGGAGGGTAATATCCCCCTTGGGGGTGCCTTTGGGTAACAGCCTGATGCACCTTCCAAACCCCTTTAGCATCTCTTATCTCATTTGAGCCCCACACAGCCCTATGAGACAGGCAGAGCAGGTAGAACGCATCCCATTTTACAGCCAGGCCTCCTGGCTCGCTCTGGGAAATCGGCAAGGGGCTGGCAGCCGCGATGCTTGTTCCCAGACCTCCTGGCTCCTCTGCTTCCATCGCTCTCGCTGCCCTGGAGGTCCAAAGGCTGCCCAGCCTTTCTTCCCCTCTCCTGAGGGCCAGGGGTCTAGCACCCCCTTCCAAGAGGCCAGCAGAGAGAGGAGCTGGGGCCGAGGGGACACAAGTCAGAAAGTGGGGCCATGTTTCTGAGGCTCTGCCTGCATCCCACACACACCACCCCAGGTTGTTCCTCCAGTACGGCCTCCTTCTGAACTAATCAAGCGGTTTTCCTCCTTTTCATTTTTACTGAGGTTAACATAGATATGGTAAAGTGCACAAAGTGTACAAAACATGCTTGGCCAGCGTGATGAGATTTTGCATGTGTGCTCCCCTGTGTACTTACCATGCCAATCGAGATATAGTACATTTCCAGCCCTCCCTCTCCGGGCCCTCTCGTAGCCCTTCCCTAGCAGAACCCCTGGTAGGCCACCTCCATCTTGATTCCTACCACCGTTGTCTTGATGGAGTCGTGCAGTCTGCACTGTCCGGCTCGTGGCTGTTTGGCTAGACAAGCCTGTGAGAGCACCCCCGGGTGCACGCAGCAGCAGCCTGTCCTTTCCATTGCTGTGTGGTGCCCATTCTATCAAGATGTTGTTATTGTTTTTGTTGCCATCAAGTCAGCTCCGACTCACGGCGACCTTATGTACAATGGAACAAAACGCCGTCTAGTCCTGCCCATCTTCGTCATCATTGGTATGTTTGAGCCCATTGTTGTATCTATGGTGTCAATCCATCTCCTGGAGGGTTTTCCTCATTTTTGCTGACCTTTTACTTTACCAAACATGATGTCCTTTTCTAGCGAATAGTTTTTCTTGGTGATGTATCCAAAGTGAGCCCAAGTTTTGCCATCCTCTTTTTTGGTTTGTTCTTCTGGCAGTCCACAGTCTATTCAGTATTCTTTGCCAACACCATGGTTCAGACACATTAGTTCTTCTTCTCTCTTGCTTTTTCATTGTCCAGCTTTCACACGCATTTATGAAGCGATTGAAAAGACCATGGCTTAGGTTAGGTGCACCTTAGTCTCCAAAGTGACATCTTTTCTTTGTAAAACATATGCCCCAGTTTATTCACCTGTTCCGAGGTGGGTGGGCACGTGGGTGACTTGCAGCATTTGAGCAGCTTTGAAGTGGTTGTGCAGACCTACGCTCTTGACAGCAGTGGGCGTGCTCTGTGTCACAATCCCAGACAGTGCCCGGGACTGCCATCCTTCCATCTTTCCATTCCGGCCATCTCGTTGTGGTTTGAGTTTGCATTTCTCTGATAACCAGTGATGTTAAACATGGTTTCATATGCTTATTGGCCGTTTAGCTATTTTTGTCTTATGAAGTGCTTGTGCAAATCCTTCTCCCATTTTAAAATCAGGTTGATCTCTGTCTTAGTGATTTGTAAGAGTTCTTTGTATGTTCCTCATACAGTCCTTTGTTGGATATCTGCGATAAGAATCACTTTTCTCCATCGATGTATGACTTGTCTTGTCTTTTTACTCTGTTAATGGTGGGTTTTCTTTCTTTTGTTTTTTTTTGTTTTTTGTTTTTTGTATTTTACATAATACATTTTTATTGTAGTGAAAATATACATAACAAAATAATTTTTACAGGTACAATTCAGTGACGCCGATTACCTTCTTCAATTAACGGTGTTTTTTATGAAGTCCAGTTTATTTTCATTTTTCTGTCATAGTTGGTGCATTCAGTGTCTTGTTTAAGAAGTCTGAGAAGATGATATTCTGTGATTTTCTCTAGAAAGTTTACTCTTTTCCTTTTCATATTTAGCTTTTCATGACTCATCTTGAATTAACTGTCGTGAGAGTAAGAAGTAGGGACCAGGTCCTTTTTATATACAGATATTCACTAAGGATAAAGAACAAATATGAATTTTCTTTAGACTTGTGTCTGGCCCAGCACATGATCTGTTTTGACAGCTGTTTGATGTACACTTGCTAGGGGGTGTGCTCTGTTCTAAAAACGTCAGTTAGGTCAAGTTCATTGATAATACCATTCACATCTACATCCTTACTGATCATTCTGTCTGCTTGTTCAAGAAGACGTCAAGAGAGTTAAGTAAAAATCCTCAGCTATGTGTGAGGATTCTCTGATTTCTCTAATTCTGTGAGTCCCTGGGTGGTACAAACAGTTTGCACTCGACTACTAGGCAAAAGGTTGGCTGTTCGAACTCACTCAGAGGCACCTCAGATAAAAGGCCTGGCAATCTACTTTCGAAAGGTTACATCCTTGAAAACCCTGTGGAGCAGTTCTACTCTGCATACATGGGGTCACCATGGGTCGGAATCAACTAGACAGCAACAACATTTGCTTAAATGTTTTGATGCCATGTTATTCGGTACATCCAATTTTGGATTGTTTTGTTTTCCTTTGATTGAATCATTTTATCATTATGAATGTCCTCTTTAGTTCCATTAATACTTCTTGCCTAAATTCTACTTTTCTGATATTAGCTTTCTTTTGGCTAATGTTTGCAAGGTGTCTTCCCCCCGCCTCCCTCACCATTTACTTTCACATTAGTGGTGCCTTTATATTTAAAGTGGGTCTGATACAGAGGGCACATGTTGATGGCCAGGTCTTGTTTTCGTTGTCCGATCTTACAATCTCCTCCTGATCTTCATTGGACTGTTTGTCTCACGTCTCACATGGTTTTGGTTCCTCTATTTACTTATTTATTTTTATTGTGCTTTTGATGAACGTTTACAGAGCAAATTAGTTTCTCATTAAACAGTTAGCACATATATTGTTTTGTGACATTGGTTGCCAACCCCATGATGTGTTAACATTCTTCCCTTCTTGACCTTGGGTTCCCTATTACCAGCTTTCCTGTTCCCTCCTGCCTTCTCATCTTTGCCCCTGGGCTGGTGTGCCCATTTAGTCTTGTTTTGTTTTATGGGCCTGTCTAATCTTTGGCTGAAGGGTGAACCTCAGGAGTGACTTCAGTACTGAGTTAAAAGGGTGTCCAGGGGCCATACTCTTGGGGTTTCTTCAGTCTCTATCAGACCAGTAAGTTTGACCTTTTTTTTGTGAGTTAGAATTTTGTTCTACATTTATCTCCAGCTCTGTCCAGGACCCTCAACTGTGATCCCTGTCAGAGCAGTCAGTGATGGTAGCCGGGCACCATCTAGTTGTGCTGGACTCAGCCTGGTGGAGGTAGTTGTGGTCTGTTAGTCCTTTGGACTAATCTTTCCCTTGTGTCTTTGATTCTCTTCATTCTCCCTTGCTCCAGATGGGGTAGGACCAGTGGAATAGCTTAGATGGATGCTCAACAAGCTTTTAAGACCCCAGATCCTCTTTTTATTTTTTAATGATTCCTTCTTTTTGTGAAATAGATATTTTTAGCGTATCATCGTCTTGGTTGTTCTTTCTCTACTGTGTTTTTGAGTTGTTTTCCTAGTCCTTGCTGAAGGGATTACAATATGCATCTTCATTTATCAAAATCTACTTCAGATGACTACTAACTTAATTCCGGTAAAATATGGAGACTTTGCTCCAGTATAACCCCATGTCCTCTCACCTCCTTTGTGCTATTATTGTCCTATATGTTACGTCTGTGTATGTTACAAATTCAACAATCCAGTGTTATGACTTTTGTTTTATGCAGATATATGGCTTCTAAAGAATTTAAAAGACTATATATATATATACATATATATATATATATATATATCCCAAACCCACTGCCATCGAGTCAATTCTGACTCATACCGACCACATAGCATAGGGTCTCCAGGGTTGTAAATCTCTACAGAAGCAGACGGCCACATCTTTCTCTGGTGGAGCCGCTGGTGGTTTTGAACCATCAGCCTTTGAGTTAGCAGTTGATCACTTACCACTGTGCCACCAGGGCTCCTATATATATGAAGCCCTGGTGGTGCAGTGGTTAAAGTGATTGTGTATCAACTGTGTATGTATCCACATATATATGCATATACATATATATAGTCTTTTAAATTTACCCTCATATTTACCCTTTCCTGTGTTCTTCATTTTTTCCTGTGAATTTAAGTTACCATCTGGTGTCATATCTTTTCAACCTGAAGAATTTCCTTTAGTATTTCTTCTGCCATCTCAACTCTGCTATTGAATCCTATAGTGAATTTTTTAGTTTAATGATTGTACTTTTCAACTCCAAAATTTCCATCTTATTCTTTTTAATAATTCCTACATTATTGAAATTCTCTATTTTGTTTAGTCATTTCCATCATAACCCATTGCCATCAAGTCAATTCCAACTCATAGCGATCCTATAGGACAGAATAGAACTGTCCCATAGGGTTTCCAAGGAGCAGCTGGTGGATTCAAACTGCTGACCTTTTGGTTAGCAGCTGAGCTCTTAACCACTGCACCAGCAGGGCTCCATTTCCATTGTAAACCGAAAAAACCAAACCCATTGAGTTGAGTCGATACCAAATCATAGCGACCCTATCATACATTCCTTTAATTCTAATTTAAACATGGTGTCCTTTAGTTATTTCAACATATTTATAATAGCCAGTTAAGGACAATACCTGGGGACCCTCAGAGATATTTCCTATTGACTGCTTTTTTTCCCTGAGTAGGGTCACACTTTACTGTTCTTTGCATGCCT